AGATAGATAGATAGATAGATAGACAGATAGATAGATAGATAGATAGATAGATATGGATGGAAGGATGGTTAGATAAATAGAATTATGGATGGTTAGATAATTATGGATGTTAGATAGTTAGTTATGGATAGATAGATAGATATATTGTCAGATTATAGATAGATAGATAGATAGATAGATAGATAGATAGATAGATAGATAGATAGATTGATTGAATTGAAATGAAATGACCTGGTCACCCACTCTTAAAAACCCAAACGTGAGGCTTTCCGAGGTTTTTGGCTCTCTAAGGCTGACTGAATGGACTGTTATCAAAGCTGTGAGTGAAAGCAGATATGACCATTCAGTTTCTTTAGCCTGTATTCTCAATCGTCAGAATAGCCCGTGGACTGAAAGGACTGGTATAATAGCGATTATCAAAGTGGACAATAACAGCTGTTTTGGCGCTGCAGATAATGGATAGTGAAGGATTGGTGATTGTGCATGTTTAGACGGGATCAACAGAAGCTGAATTGGGAAGCGCTGTGTGGTCTGGAGCACATTAAAAGTCATCTCTGAATCTCTGAGCTTGAGTTGAGCAGATTCAAACTCACCCCGACTTCAACGTGATCCGAGCCTTTGTCGTCCTGCTTGTGGAGAATCTCAAAGTAGTATCGTCTGGAGGCCATGAGACTGGAGAGGAAAGAACAGACATGAAATCTTAATGCCTTTCATTTGAAAGTCCTGTATTTTTATTACTGCATTTTATCATATTGTATCTCCTAATTTCCTATATTGTAACATCATAGCATATCTTATTAAAGCAATAAAGTGGATTATTGTTTTCAGAAAATAGCAACAACAGCAATACGACAAAAAGGAAGAATGTTCAATAAAGTTACATTTATTAATAGTAATAATTGGAAAATAGTTCTTTTGCCAAGTGATATGTGTCTAACTGTGAGCTGTTTACAGTTGCCGAGCAACACAAAAACTATTAAATATTAATATAGAATTTGTGGCCACATGTTTGCATGCATTTCACAACGCCTTCAAACTTGAGCTCAGAATTCCAGCCAGAACTGTAATATTTTGCATTGTTTTGTCTATATCTATATATAAATGGAACAAAACAGTGTAGCAAATCATATTTTGTTGTTATGTACCCCATAATATATCATAACATATCCCATCACAGATCATAATATTGTATCGTACTGTAGTGTTTCAGATTGCATCATATATTGCAACAGTGAATTATATATCATGACATATCTTATGTTATAACTGTATTGCTTTACTGAATTATGTAATATGGGACATGAAATGTTGCAATATAAGAACACTAACATATCATATATCATATCATTTCAAATTAAATTTGCATTATTCTGTATTATATATTATATCAAATAAATAACACATATTGTGCTGTATTATATCAAATATTGTATCACATATCACACCTTTGTGTCATGTATTTACAAAATATAAAAATATGATATTATATTATTATATTTCCAAATAATATAGTGAGTTCTCTACATTTCGCTCACTTTTCATATTTATTTATTAATTTATGAATAATAGATTTATTATATATATATATATATATATATACATACATGAATGTTGTAGGTTGGTTGTTTCTCCGTTTGATTTATAAATGATCTATTATTTACTTACATTAAACAGATAGATAGATAGATAGATAGATAGAGGATGTTAGATGGATAGATAAATAGAATTATGGATGGTTAGATAATTATGGATGGATGGATGGATGGTTAGATAATTATGGATGTTACTTAGTTAGTTAGTTAGTTAGTTATGGATGGATGGATAGATAATTATGGATGTTCTGGTTAACCTTGATCTCAGCATTATGGGTAAACATCAGGGAAAACAAACCAAATGCCACAAAACTTCTTTAAATGTCTTGTTTGAAGTGATGCTCCTCTGCGTCTGTGTGGGAGCAGATGAACACAAACCCATGAGATTCTTCTCCAGAACAAAGAGGGTTCCTTCAGATATGATTAAGATACGTTGAGTTTCCGGCAGACAGTCAGTCGGGTTCGAGCTGATGTTTGTTTCCTGATGTCTGGGGCTGTGGATGAGAATATCTGGAGTTTATTCTGTCAGATGATGCCAGCTCACTGGATGTTGCTGCTGGTTTGCGATGGCAAAAAAAGAAGAGAAATGTTATGATGGGACTGATTTAGCTGCTGACTTGAGTTTCTAAGTAGATTTGTTTTGTTTTAAGCATCACTATTGATTTTATCAATAATCAGTCAAATATTTTAATTAATTTAATTTAATTACCATAAACTCTTCAGCTTCAGCATGTTCTCATCAGCCCTCAGTACAAACTAAATTATAATTGAAAGATACACTACTGTTTGAAAGTTTGGGGTTGGTATAAGTTTTTTAATTTATTTATTTGTTTATTTATTTAAGTCTTTTTTGCTCATCAAGGCTGCATTTTTTAATCAAAAATATTGTGAAATATTATTAAAATTTCAAACAAGTATGTGAATATTGTAAAATGTAATTTATTCCTGTGATCAAAGCTGAATTACTCCAGTCTTCAGTGTCACATGATCTTCAGAAATCATTCTAATATGCTGATTTGCTGCTCAAGAAACATTTCTGATTATTATCAATGTTGAAAACAGTTGTGCTGCCCAATATTTTTGTGGAAACTGATATTTTTAATTTTTCAGGATTCTTAGATTAATAAAAACATTCAAAATAACGGCATTTATTTGAAATATAAATCTTTTGTAACATCATTAATCTTTACTGTCACTGATCAATTTAATGCATCCTTAATGAATAAAAGTATAAAATTTTTGCAAAAAACCTGTAAAATAACTATGATTTCAAAACTTAAATAATTTTGGGTTAAAATCTCTGCAGAGTTGACTGTTCACTAAGCTCTGCTTTAGAAGTAATTACTGTAGTTTTAAATGAAATTTGTTGATGTAGTTCCTTGCACAACCAAATGATTCATATGCGCGTCAGAAAAAAGTACACACACACATATATATTATTTTATTTGATTTTTCTTTAAGTGTTGCAAAATATCCAAAAAGATGGTAAACCATTGTTGCCATGTCATTTATAATAGTGGCACAAACCTAGTGAAGATACAATGGTATTGTCTTGTATTTTGGTAAAAATGGTATTTTAACTAGTTAACATTATCATAGTGAACATTAGGAACACTTTCAAATGAGACTATTCTCTCTCTTCAGTTGAATGAGTTTTTAATCACGTTGCTGCATAATCTAACAATTTCAGTAGATTAAAAATACATTGCAATATCACAAAGGTCAGTTCTGCAGTGTTAAGAGTACCACATTCTTTAATTTAACTTTTTAATTAGAGTAAAAATGTTATATATTTTAAAATTAACTTATTTATTATTATTTAACATTTGCGATTTCTCAAGGTCACAAATATGTTTTAGTCTCACACTCTCACACACACACACACACACACACACACTTGCTCTATCATGTTACTGAAGTACAAATAAACTGAACATCTACATATAGAAAGTGAAGGCCAGAACTCTTTTATTTCCTCGTCAGTGGCTCCACACTTTTAATCTGTTCTCTTAATGAATGCTAACAGAAGGCGGATCCAACATAGCAGAAAATTTGCCCTAACCGTCAATCATCTGTCAGAGTCCCAGGGGGTGGAGTTCAGGCGCTTAAGTCCGGCTTATTGGCCCGTCGGGCACATGGGCATCTGCTCCAGCTTCTTTTAGAAAAGCCTCCAACTCGCCCTGGAGGACTTTAACTAGTCTTCCAAACACTAACTCACCCAAAAGTTCCCACAAGAAGAGGGCAAGGTCTTCAGAAGGAGTTCTGTTAGTTCTTCACTCTGATGCTCTGATGGGGTTTTATATTTCAGCCGCGTGTTAATTGTTGGTCTTGAGGAAAGGCCCTCATGCTGGCGGGATCTCTGCGTGCCCGTGAGTTTAACACTGATGAACACGCACTGCCCATTTCTGAGAAGTTTGACATCACATCTCAGAATGTGTGAGTGAGTTTGTGAAGGCTGATGAGAGCTGAGCTTTGAAATCACATGAAAGAAGCCTAGAGAACGTGAAGACCAGAGGAAATTCTGTTTTATCAAACACCACTGCTTTTCAGTATGTGATTAATCAATTTAGGATATTTCTTTCTTTCCATACTTTTGTTCATACTTCCGTTTGTGCTTCTTCTTAATTTAATTTAGTTTCTTGCCCTTTTTCAACCTTTCACGTCTTTTATGCCTTTCTTTAAATTGTACTTGCTTTTTTCTTTACTTGGTTACTATATATTATTTTGTAGTTATTTCATTGTTTTTTGTTAGTAACTTTGATTCATTTTTTTTCTTTGCTTCATAATGCTCTTAGTTTTTCATTTTTGTTTTGTTTTGTAAGTTTGTATTTGTACTTTTGTTCAGACTTTTTTGTTAGCTTCATAACTCTCTCTCTTCATACTTATTTACACCTGTTGTTTTCTTTTCTTTTATTCATACTTTGTCATTTTTCTTTTTTCAATTTTTAAAAACTTTTTTTCTCATTTGTATAAATTTCTTTTTCATTTTTATTTCGTTTTTTTTTTCTTGATACTCATATGTTGATATTATATCATATAATTATATTATATCATATTATATGTTTACCTTCTGCTTATTTATTTGTCTCATGTATGTATTTGGTTGTTTGCAGGAGCCCAACCCGTTCCTGAGCTCCACGATCGAGGCGGACGCTCTGTTGAGGAGTCAGGTTCCTCCGGCCGTGAGTAAGGATCAGGGTCGGATGGGCAGCTCTACTCGTGCTCTTCCTCCTCTGGCCTTCCCCGGAGAACTCGTGCCCTTTGATGAAGCTCTGAGAGACGTGAACACAGTGAGGCCCCTGACTAGTCAGGACGGACCCGATATAGTCGCTCGCCATGGAGCCCAGCTACTGGAGGTCAAAGCCGCTGAGCGCAGAGGTACACACACATCAACACACACACGCACAACTTGCTTCCACCATCAACACACACACAACTCAAGTGCACTGTTGAGGAGTGAAGAAAGAAAAGAAAAAAAAACTACAGAAAGTAAATTTTTAAAAAGTAAAATTATAAAAAGTATGAAAACATATTAGCAAAAGAAAAGAATTATAAAAAATGAAAAGTATTAATTAAAAATAACAAACTGTAAAAAAAAAAAAAAAAAAAAAGGATGAAAATAGAAGCAGAAGTATGCACAAATGTAAGTACAAAATAAAGTTAATACAAACTTTGGGGGGAAAAAAAATCCAAAACAGAAGAAAGTTGCCATACGGATCAAATTTTTTTATGTTAGAAAAAATTTACAAAAAAGAAAAGTAGGAACAAAGGAAACATAAAATTAAGAAAACTATACAAGCAGCAGTATGAAAAAGAAGGAAGGAAGGAAAATATAATTAAAGGAGTATGAGATTAGAAATAAGAAGGAAAGAAAAGAATGAAAAAAATAATGAAAGAAAGTTATACATCTAAGAAGAAAGGTATGAAAATGCCTAAACAAAAGTAACAGTATAAATGAAAGAACAAACAGGAAAAAAACACACAAAAAAATAGTATGAAAAAGTGTGAAAAGAGAATTATGAAGCAAAAAATGAAAGTATGAATTGACGTTACATAGTAAAAACAATGAAAGAACCACAAAATAAGTATATGAAAGTATGAACAAGACAAGAAAGAAAGAAAGAGAATTGTGGCATAATTGTAATTGTGAACCTCAGACAGAGAGCATGTGATTTATTCTGAGATTTGTCTTGTGTGTTGCAGAGCTGGAGAGACAGATGAAGATTGAGAATCTGTTTGTGATGTGGCAGCAGCGCTCGGCTCAGTCCAACATGCCCATCTCTGTGAGTTCACTCAGACTCAGCGCGAGTACACCGCTACACACAGGCTCGGCGTGTGATAATGTTTGATGGGTATTTTCCATCACACTCTCAGAGCATGATTTTCCCAGCGGCTCATCAGGTCCAGATTCATCCCAGTGCGCGCAGATCCTCTGCCTCACACGCACACATGCAGATCCGTGTGTGTGCGGCCCGCTTGGGTTTAATGAGATGTGGCCAGGACATTAGGAGATGCTGCAGTGTTTGAGATGTCTCTGTCATTCGCTGTGATCGCACTTCCTCTGAATCCACACTGAGGCTCTTTCACACTGCTGAGATCCAGACAAATATGTTATTATTATTATACTGCAGGTTACAATCCATATTGTGCAGGTCACTACTACTGTAAGTACACTACCGTGCAAAGGTTTGGGGTCAGTAAGATTTTTTTGATGTTGAAAGAAATTAATCCGCTTTAACTTTAATCAGCAAGGACGCATTAAATTGATCAAAAGTGACAGTAAAGACATTTATAATGTTACAAAAGATTTCAATTTCAAATCAATTATATTCTTTTGAACTTTCTATTCGTCAAAAAATCAGGGATCCCACAAAAATATCAAACTCTTTTCAACATTGAGAATAATCAGAAATGTTTCTTGAGCTGCATATTAGAATGATTTCTGAAGATCATGTGACACTGAAGACTGGAGTAATGATGCTGAAAATTCAGCTGTGCATCACAGGAATAAATTACAGTTTAACATATATTCAAATAGAAAACAGTTATTTTAAATTCTAATAACATTTCACAGCATCATGTTTTTTTTACTGTATTTTTGATCAAATAAATGCAGCCTTAAGGCCAGATTTACTAACAGTTTGCGCCAGCCTTTTGGCATTAAAATAGTACTGTCATGATTTACTAAAGACGTACAGTGAAGAATTAGCGCTGAAAAGGCATGTTCATGTGCATATTGTCAGTAAATCATCCGCAGAATTTTCCCCTCCCATCGGCGCTTTTATGGAATTGCGCTCTAATGCTAATTTGCCCTGTTTAGTAAATCTGGCCCTTAGTGAGCAGAAGAGACTTCTTTCAAAACACCATTGAGCTCCAAACTTTTGAACCGTACTGTAAATTCACAGCATATCCTGATTGTAAATTTTACAGATACACACCATTGGTTGAGTTGAGTCAATGTGTTGAACAGGTTGTGATGCCTGAAAGCACCACAGGCTGCATATTAAACTGGGATGGAAAGTATTTACACACTGAAAAAGTTAGCAAATGAAGGAATTGTAGGTTTAAATCTGGAAACGCTCTCTCTGTGTGTTCAGGTGGCGGATCTGGACACACTGAAGCAGTCGTCTCGGCTGGTCCATTACTGCGCCACTCCGCTGCTCTTTGACCCCGTCTTCCGGAAACAGGTTCAAGAGGAACAGCTGCCTCAGCCACAGATGAAGGTCTGTCTCTCTTCCTCATCCTCATCCTGCTGAGTCTGTCTGCTGGTTCACACTGCAGTAAACCCATTTATACAAAAAAAGGGTTAGGATGATAATATTAATAATAATAATAATAACCATAAGTATGAAGCATATAATTCCATTGTGAGTGCATGAGATTTCTTTTTTGTTTTATTAAAATTTTTGTTATTATTTTTATTATTATTTGTTGTTATTTAACCATTATTAGTTGTTGTTTTATTTGTATTCATGTAATATAAATAATATTATTCATTATAATTTTATTATAATAGAATTGGTTTATTGTATTGATTTATTTTTTTTATATTTTAATAATAATCATAATTGTCATATTTGTTAAAAATATTAATATTTTGATTAATCAGAACGGTGAACCATATAATTATATTACGAGTGCATAAGATTTATTTATTGTTTGTTATTATTATTATTATTATTATACATTTGAAATATTATTATTATTATTAGTCTATGCAAAACAGATAAAAATAAACCGTAAATATCACTTCTATGTAATGACGTGTCAGGTATGATAATGAGCACACGTGTGTCAGTGTAGCAGCAGAATAATCATGATTATGTGGTCGTTAGTCAGTTGTTGTTGTTGATGATGAAGGTGATATAGAGGTGAGTGATGTACAAAATCTCATCTGATGTACAAAAAGTGTTTGGACGCATGAACCACGTTTAAAATGTCATGCATTAGATAACAAAATGTCAAAGCAAGTGGGATTTATAAAGTTAGCACAAGCACACTGTGCACCTCTGCACTCCACGTTTTCTCTGACCGTTGCATCTGAATTTTAGATTGACCCACACTAAATGTCACACACAAAAACAGACCGTGTTTGCTTGCTTTTCCTGCCTAAGTGGATGGTAATAGTCTCAATATGGACCAGACTTTATGTCTGTGCAGTGAATTGAGTTCAGATTTCACTCATTCAGTGTCTTTTCTGCTTCACAGTCTGACTTTCTCTCGTTCTTGGCTTGCAGAAGCGGCATCGCTCCAGTGACTCTACAGCGTCCGGCCGCGATCGCAGCTACAGCATGGATTCTGCAGACATGCTGCCGAGTCGTCTGAAGGAGGAGCCGTGGCTGCAGGAGATCTCCAGCATGTTCCTGCAGCAGTATGTGCAGTATCTGCAGAGCATGGGCTTCATCCTGGTGCAGGTCCGGCTACAGTCGCCCGCTCGCAGGTCTGTGTCCACAGAAAAACACGTCAACTAAACACTCAAGTCATGGTGGAAAGATCAGATTTAGGAGTTGAACACACATGAACAGAGGCGTCACGTGCCCCCTCAGATTTTTGAGACAAGTGGATTTTGAATGCAGCTTCCAAAAGACAAAAAATAGCCGAATAATGTTTTTTATATTTCATACAATCACACGAGCGCGATTAGAACATGCAGTGCGGCACAGTCACTGCATGTCACGCGGATACGTTGTTTTCGTTCAAATCAAAGCGTAAATGCAGCTGACACAGAATAGCATACGCTGTTAATAAAGTCATTGTTTTTGTTTTCTTTGCGTACAAAAAGTATTCTCGTAGCTTCGTAATATTACGGTTGAACCCCTGATGTCACATGGATTATTTTACTGATCTCCTTGCTACGTTTCTGGACCTTGATCGTGGTAATTACATTGCTGTCTATGGGAGGGTCAGAGAGCTCTCAGAATTCATCAAAAATATCTTAATTTGTGTTCTGAAGATTAACAGAGTTCTTACGGGTTTAGAACGACACGAGTAATTAATGACAGAATTTTCATTTTTGGGTGAACTAACCCTTTAAGTTCTTTATTATTGCATGCTTATTATGTAACACTTAAAGTGTTACCTGATTTTTTTTAAAATATACAATTAAACTTAGTTGCATGTACAAAATACCATAGTATTATAGTAGAATACTTAATGATTAAAATTACAGCATCTTCATAAATTGAACAAAAACATAAAAGAGCAAAAACATACCTGATGCGCTTTCTTTTCTTTATCATTTTGTAGATATGGTGTTTAAAAGTCTTGTTGCACTTTATATAGAAAAGGTGCATCATAATCTTCCTCTGAACAAAGTGACGCCTTCTCGACATGTAAATACAAGCTTCCCAGGAGGACTTGAATGTGTCAAGCGGTTTTGAACTGTGTATTTCAGTCATAAACACTGTTATTCACTTCACTCTTTCTGTCACAAAGCATAGCCTGCACAGAATGGCATTTACGTCAAGGTTTTTTGTGAAAATAGCTTTTATAGCAGCCAAACTGTAACGTCAAACATGGTACAAAATCTTCAGTGTAATCCGGTGACAGTAAGTTGAAGAATAAGTGCTTTTTGCAGAAGCCGGTTCTCTGTAGCGTGTGTGTGATGGGCTAATGTTGGACGCACTGCATTAAGCAGCAGGAGCATGTGATTCAGTCTGACCGGCAGCATGAGGGCCGCATTACTGACGGGGTCAGACACCTGGCAGGCCACACACGCTCTCACTCTCTCTCTCTCTCTCTCTCTCTCTCTCTCTCTACTGACGGGGTCAGACACACCCCTGAGGCCACACACACGCTCTCTCTCTCTCTCTCTCTCTCTCTCTCTCTCTCTCTCTCTCTCTCTATCTGCAGCATCGCTCGAGCCCGAGCCGCCATGTTGAGTTCTTTATCCACCGAAGGCAGATCTTCCTTCTCCTCTTTCTCATATAATAAGCAGAAGAGTGAAGACAGCCCCAAGGTACTTTATCTGCTCATCCATATTCAACCCTTCAGTCACACTCCAGTTTTGGGTCCATAGACCCATTTCGGTAACACTTTATTTTAGGGTCTCTTAACTAGTTGCTTATTAGCATGCATATTACTAGAATATTAGCCATTTATTAGTACTAATTAAGCACATATTAATGCCTTATTCTACATGACCTTATTCTACATCCCTAATCCTACCCAATGCCTAAACTTAACAACTACCTTACTAACTATTAATAAGCAGCCAATTAGAAATGTATTGAGGGAAAAGTCGTAATTAATTGTGAATAAGTGTTCCCTATTCTGAAGTGTTACCCCCATTGGTAACACCCGTTTCCATTCTGGATCCCATCCAAATAAAAAATCTTATCTGTAGAAAACAATCAAATCTTTAAATAAAAAAGGCTGTTCAATGACACCTTAAATGAATAATTCTTTATAATATGGAATTTTTTATCATGTATTTATGTTCCTTTTCATCAGATTTAAAATGATTGTTTGGTAACAAGACACACAAACATGATGTTTAAATTGTTTAACAATTCATAAAAAAAAAACAATGATTAAATGGTTAAAAATGAAAATAACAGAATGTGAAAACCACCTTTTTAATATTAAATATAATATGTGAAATCATTGTTTTTATAATGTGCAAGACATACATTTCTGTTGACTTAAAAAATGTAAACACTATCGTTCAAAGGTTTGGAGTCAGTAAGATTTTTTTATGTTTTTGAAAGATGTCTCTTATGCTCATCAAGGCTGTATTTGTTTGAGTACAAATACAATAAAAACAGGAATACAGTGAAATATTATTACAATTTAAAACTGTTTTCTATTTGAATATATTTTAAGATATAAATCTAAATCTAAATTTTCAGCAGCCAATTTATTATTATTATCAATGTTGAAAACAGTTGTGCTGCTTCATATTTTTGTGGAAACAGATGCATTTTTTTTTCACAATTCTTTGATGAATAGGCAGTTCAAAAGAACAGTGTTTATTTAAAATATAAATCTTTTGTGATATCATAAATGTCTACTATCGCTTTTGAACAATTTAATGCATCTTTGCTGAATAAAAATATTCATTTATTTTACTGACCCTCAAATTTGAACAGTAATGCATGTGCAATAAAATGACTTGCACTAGCACCACTGCAATAAAGAATGGCTAACACACACACACACACACACACACTGATTGTGTCCTTTCTGCATCTCTCAGCAGAGCAATGCATCGAGCTCGGCGTCGTATCACCTGCAGAGGGCGCTGCCGGGAGGAATCGTGCTGATGGAGCTGGCTTTTCAAGTGAGACCTTCATCTGTCTGTGTCTCATGTAGAATCGGCCTCAGCACATCAGCCGAGAGCAAACGCTGTGAAAGTCTCAGTGGATGTCGAGGAGAGAGATGTTTAATGGATCCTGCCTCTCTCGCGCTATTTATGCTTATTAATATTTGAACACACAGATTCAATCTGTGCGTCATCATCTGATTTCCAGCCCGTGCTCATGTCTAATATCCCCCTCAATTCAGTTTCAAACTCATTTAATTGCATGGCATGATTTTTACATCAGGGCTGTCAAAGTGAACATGCTAACATATGCAATTAATGATGGATTTATTCTGTTCTGTGTGAATTACTCATCATGAATTCTGATTGAAATCTATGTTTACCCATGAGTAAAACACCAGTCATTCATAGAAATTTTCAACACTAGCAGATGAGTCAGTGGCAAAAATACAAGTCCATAAATTGTGCTGAAATGTATTTATTTATTATTTTTTTTGCATTTTCAGTTGCATTTCTTGTTTAGTTCACTAATAATTCTAATAATATTAATTATTATGATAATGATGGGCTTTAATATTGAAATATAGTAATATTGAAACTAATGAGGATAATAACAATAATAATATTTTATTATTATTATTTTAGCGGTTTGTTCAAATCTCTAGTTTTAATACTACTACTACTACTACTACTGCTAATAAAGAAAATTAATAATTATAAGGTTCAGACTTATGGTTAGGGATTTGAATTAACACTTAACCCTAGGTCAGGTTCCAAAATAATGGAATTGTTTTAATAAATGGGTTCAGAATATTATTTATTTATTTATTTATGGTGAGAAGTGTTTCTATTTCACAGGTGATTATAAAGGAGAGTTAAAGGGATTGCAAATACTTCTTTATTTGGTTCAGTTTGCTAATTTATTATAATAGTATATTATAATTATTATTATTATAATAGTAACATAGTGTGCACAAACGAATCATGACCAGGCTGAATTAAGAAAGCAAATGAAGCCAATTTTGATTTATTTTGCCTTAAGGAACTTCTCCTGTATATGGTGAGCTAAGCAGTGATGAATTTATCTGCAGCTGATGCATAAGTGTTCCTCTGCTAACACATAATTTTATTGTGACTCTGTTGCAGGGCTGTTATTTCTGCGTGAAGCAGTTTGCATTAGAGTGCTCAAGGATTCCCATGGGTCAGACGGTTAATTCTCAGGTAACGGCATCTGTGCATTAAAAACAGCAGACAAGAAGAGAAAGTGAGAGTAAGTGAGGTGTTTAAGAGTTGTGCATCTGTTGTAACTGCCTGTGTTTAATATGAGCAACAAGCAGCAATCGCCTCCTTTGTTAGCAGGATTCACTGGACAAATGTCTGTCTCTTTCTCTCTGATGGCGTGTTTAATGTGCAGCGGGTCCAGGTTGGCTCTAAATGAGGAGTAGTTAAGTGTAAATATTTGTAAATCTCCAGATGTTTCTCAGCAGGAGGGCTCTGATTTCTTCCAGAAGCCCATAAGGTGTCTCCAATCACAGCTGCTCATATCCAGCAATTAAGTCATCAGTGTGTTTGTTTGCTTGTTTGTAAGTGCAGATTCTTCAAACTGAGCTTGAGGGCAAACAGGCAGAAGGAATCACTAATGAAAATTCATCAACTTAAATCTGTTCTGTTAGAGTCCATAGTATTCGATTGCGTTAACAAACATTGCCAGCTGCCAGTTTGGTGTTATTTTTCATAAGGAATGAACAATCCAGTTATTGTTCATTATTCTGCTGTTAATACTACTTTTTGTTCCTGGAGAACCAAATATATCCACTTACCGTAGAAGGATAAAGTGACATTTTCATCAAGACTCCATAGTGATCAAATTCACCAGGAAAAAATCAGCAAATCATCTTGAAGTCACCTGCGTTTAAAGGTCATAGTCAGGAAACTCTGCCATTTGTACCAGAAAATTGTTCTTTTAATAAAAAATTACATTTGAAAAGGTTACTGTTGAACTTACATTAAATCATATTTTCATATCTCGGGCTCAAAGTATTAGTGCCGTTATGCCATATACATTAGTGAATCTTATGACAATGCTTTTTCCCCAGTGGTCAACAAATATGATTATGGTTGTTGTTTTCTCACAATTACAGTAGCAACAGTATTTATCATTATAGCGTTGGGAATGCCCACTTTGTCCTTCTACAATAAGTGGATGTATTTGGTTCTCCAGGAACAAAAACACAGCTTAAAGACATTAACATTGCAGAATAGTTAACAATAAATTGATTGTTCATTCCTAATGAAAATGCGATTGACATGAAGGTATAAAATTAACAGCTGAAAATGAGTGACGCACAAAGGTTAAAAAATGACTAATGAAATGAGACCAAAAAGTAGTTTATAACAATAAACATAAAAAAAAAAAAAAGTATAAAAACACTAATACTAAATAAAACAAAAATTGGAAACGGAAAATTATGAAACAAGTACTAAAATCATGAAACTTGACATTACAAGAAACCAGACTAAAAAGATGTGTTTTTTAATTTCAAATAAAAATTGCATTAATATTGTTACATGAACAATATTTGTTTTTAAACCATATGCATGATATTTTTTAATTTCAATTAAAACAAAATGTGTATATATAAAAGCATTTTTATATCTTTATACATATACCAAGCTTTTAATTGAATAATTGAAAGATTATTATAATTTAATAATTTAAACACTTCAATCTGATTGTAAAGTGTTATCAATATGACAAATTGAGTATCCTGCTGTATGTCAGTGGCAAGGTTTTCTAAGCATGGACGCAAGAGTCAAAGCAAAGATTTTTATGCTAAATATTAGAGTTATTATCATTTTAATCATCTTCTCCCTGACATGTTACATTAAACATTTCATTATTAATACATATTTATTTTAAGCTATACTTTCACTTTTTTTTTTACTTTATACTACTAATACTCCTCCAGTCACTGTAGCAGCAAATGAAGTTGGTTTTGAAGTGCCACTGGACGCCATGAGAATGCTTTCTATTTATCTGACATTTATCAAGAGTTTGCTGCAGAAATTGGGAACAGTGGGAATAGATCACGATGTAACAGGAGCCATAAGAAGCAGATATTTTGCAGAGTTATAGAGTGAAAGGTCACGCCTGCTTCTCATCTATTCAGACTGCACATGCCTCATGCTCATCATTATTGATCATCTCATGTCACTTCCTGTCACACGCCCTCATACATTAGCGCAGTCAGCTTGTGCATGTGTGTTTTGTTCATTAGTGTAAATTGACTTCTAACCTCTCTGTGTGGCATGTTTCTCATCTGTCTCTGTTCTGTGTCTGTGTGTGTGTCTCACTGTCCTGCATATGGTGTGTGTGTGTGTGTGTGTGTCTAGTCCCATCTCACCCTTTCTTTCCATCAGGAGTCTCTTCTCAACAAACCTCCTAGCCAGCCGTTCCCCGAGGCGCCCACGGCCTCTGACTCTGCGGTATGTCTCTGCATCCTCGGGGCGGGGCTCGTCTCCCACCAATCAGGCTTCAGTCTTTCCCTCAGACTCCTCCCCCATATAGTGCCTGGCTCCTCCCTTTCCTATTGCAGCCCCACTCACACCTTTCTGTGCAGTTCATTGAAAATCAGATGATTCCTTTCCATGTGTTTGTCTGTGTTTGTCAGCGTTGCATCTTGGGAAGTCCTCGAGGTGCTGTTGAATGTGGCATCTTCTGGGAGGTCACGGGGTCACTCTTCTTGCAGCTCTGATAGGCCAATGATCTCTTTTCTTTGCTCAATGATTATCCCTGATTTTCTTCCGCTCTTGTTGCATCTTGATTTGGATCTGCTTGTTTCCTTTTAAGGGAATCATGAACTATAATTCTGAGGCAGTTCAATAAATAATATTTTTTTCTTTATAGAGAAGCAGAAGAAACATATCTGATAATGCTAATTTTCTTTCATTTCACTTTGTAGTTTTTTGGCTAATTTGGAGCATTCATAATTTGCTTTTCACAACTAAACCGTTTCAAAATGAGGAAATCACAAATGCCATCTTCAAGTGGAGCTTTTCCACTTTGTCTTGATTGCTTCTGCTTGAAACAAGATAGGAAACAAAAGACTTAAAGTCAGCGTAAATGCTTTGCTCAGCCTATTTTACTTCCAAAATCTAGTGTATAAGATATTCATAAGAGTCTGTGGGTTTGAAATTCGAGATGGATTCAAGATGTTGACTGAAAAGAAATATGCAGCTAATTTTTGGATTGCATTTTATTTTAGGGTGACATTGTAACAGTGTAATTACACAAATAACTCATACTGAGTAATATTAATTAACTACATATACTTACTATAGGGTTTGGGTTTACACTGTAATTAACAGTGTCCTTGTTACAGTGTAATTATACAATCAAGTACTGAGTAATATGAATTAACTACTTGTACTTACTATAGGGTTATGAATAGGGTTTGATTTAGGGTTATTGCATGTAATTATGCATAAGTTACTATTATTTCTATAGTAAGTACATGTAATGTGTAACAAGGATGCTAAAATAAAGTGCCACCGTATTTGGTGTAGAGTTAATTACTTGTAATTATGCACAATTTACTGTTATTACTACAGCAAGTGTGTGTAACATGTAAGAAGGATGCTAAAACCAGGTTTGGTTTAGGGTTAATTATGTGTAAATATGCATTATTTACTGTTATTACTACAGTAATTACCTGTAACATGTAGCGAGGTTGCTAAAATAAGGTGTTGCAGGTTTGGTTTCGGGTTAATTACTTGTAATTATGCATGATTTACTGTTAAAACTACAGCAAGCATGTAACAAGGACATTATAATAAGGTGTTACCAGGTTTGGTTTAGGACAAGTTACTTGTAATTATGCATAATTTACTGTTATTACTTCAGTAATTACATGTAACAAGGACATTTCAAAGTTTTACTGTTAGGTTTAGGGTTAGTTATTTGTACAGTAATTATGAATAATTTACTATTACCACAGTAAGTGCATGTATCCTCTAACCTCTAATCACCTTAAAATAGTGTTACCAATTATTCCAGTTTGATTAAAAAATATTTTAAATTTCGTATTTGGAATAATGTGCACAAATAAAATGTATAAAAAAAGGTATGTTCATTAAAAAAGTATAAAGGTTTATGTTGACCTTAGGGCCCTTTTTAGGACTTTAGCGTCTAGTGTCATGGAAAGGTGATTTTGTGAGGTTACCAGGCAGCCAGAAAGTAGTGAAAGTACACAGTATAAAGTAAAAAACTGTAAAAGTAAGAAAGTAGAACACCTAGAACTCTTAAGTGACGCCAAAGTCCCTCCAAGATAAATTCACTCAACGATCATTTTCGTAATGCCTTGGGCAGCTCTTTCCAGCCATGCAAGTACAGCTTCATTGGATTTAATAGAGAAACACTACAATCTGTCAAAATTCTGTTTAAGTGATTTATTTCAGATCAATAAAATGTGACAGCAATGATATCATAGCTTAAAATCAGTGCTTCTTCAAGCTCAGATCACTCAAAACCCTGCTAATGCACATGCATCGTCAAGAGTAAACAAACAAGCTGTTTGAACTATAATGCATTCAGCAGATTTATTGAGTGCAGCGATGGCTCTATCAAAAAGGATAATGGCTGTTTTACCTGTAGGGCAGGGCTATGATTGCTCTCATTTATATGTTCAAGTGGACCATCTTCTCCATAAGTCTCTGGTGACACGTTACAGAGCTTGACCTGTGCGCCTCGTGGCATCTGGGAAAACTCCGTAGCATTCAATAAGGCCTTAATTCTCTGAATGTTGGCATTTGGTTAACACATGACTCAGGTCTAGGGTGTAATTATGCTTTAAGAGTGTCACGAATGCAAACACAACAGACTAGCGCAATCATAGCAAGCTGTGAATGGAGCCGTTTTCGTGCTCCATGTTTCCAAAAGCTGTTTTACGCAGCCGCGCATGACTGAGAGGAAAATGGACTGACGGTATTATCTTTCCTCAGAACTTTCAGTCAAATGGGCCACCGGCAGATTTCAAAACGTTGACGTGAAAAACGTTTCTCGTGCAGGGATGAAAGGTGCAATTGCGCAAGCTGTTTTCTGCTTTCTGCAAATGGAATGGCCACGGCAGCGTCAAATGAACAGGGTTGATTTGATAAGACCTATTTGCATTTGTTCCAGGGTAATGGTCAGGATGAAAGCGGCAGCGGTAATAGCGTTTAGCTGTCGAATCCAGCGCCCTCCCCACCTCCTGCTCCCATTGTACTGTAATTACTCCTGCTCTCTCCCTCTGCAATCATTTGCATTCACCACTGATGCTTTTGTAAGCACGGCTTTGATGTGAGATTGAATTAAATAGGATACAATTATTATGTTGATTGATATCACAGAAGCTTTTAAAAAGACTCTTGTAAAGGTTTGGCAGGTCGCTGGTTTGCTCTTCACAAGTCAGCCACATGGAGTTTTAGATGTGATGTCAGGTTTGAGGTGTGCTTGGGTGATTTTCACGAAACCCATCAAGAACATGTCTGGCTCAGGTTTCACCCCCAAATCAAGCACCATTAAGACTGTGTGCACTGGAACTTCATTTCCATTGCATTTACACAGTTTACACAACACAACATGTTTCCACTGACAAGTAATTTCTCAGATCTCACAGAAAGTGAAAATGATTCCTGACACTGTCACAGCCACACACATTCAATGCTTACCATGTATGTTTTTAAAAATACATTTATTTATTTATTTAGTTTAACAGTGGCATATATATATATATATATATATATATATTTCTGTTTAATAGTGGCATAATATTTATTGTTTTTTATTTTGGTTTAATATTGGGATTCATTTATTTAATTAATTAATTAATTATGTTTAGTAGTGCGTAATATTTATATACTTTTTAAAACATTTATTTGTTTAAGAGTGGGATTTATTTATTTATTTATTTATGTTTAATAGTGACATAATATATACTTTTTAAAATGTATTTATTTGTTACATTTTTATGTTTAATGTTTTTTTTTTTTTTAGTATAGATTTTATTAGTATAATATGAAACAATACAGGAATGAGAATCTAATTAGTAATAATAGAACTTGGATGCATTAGAGTGTAAAATCTGATTATTTGTCATGAAAATAATGTCACAAATCTCATCGGTCCTAAGAAAGATTAAATTTTTTATGCAAAATGTAATTTCATATTTATTTTCTTTTGATGTTGGGTTGAAATGTGGCCTGGACATGTTTTTGGCCAGACTTTGCAGCGAGGCTGGTTTGATTTGAGCGTCTGTAGAGAAGCTCTTTCATTAGGTTTTGAGGATCTGGATTTGGGATGATGTTCCTGCTACTGCTTGCGTTCTTCCTCTGGGGTTCTGATGGTCTCTCACAGGTGATGTGGAGTGATGCAGCGGTAACAGTGTTCATGTGTGTTTCTGCCCTCAGCTGTCCATGCTGTTCACCGAGGAGTGCGATAAGGTGCGGGATCTGATGCACGTTCACTCCTTCAGCTACGACTTCCACCTGCGTGTGGTGCATCAGTACCTCGTGGGCTGTCACATGACCCTGCGGCAGGGGTACCAGCTCACGGCCTTTCTGGAGGACTTCATCGCCCATCACCCTGACATACCCAAGTTTGGACGCAACCATGTCTTCCAGGGTGAGCGCATGTCAGAAACGTACATCTTTTGCATTTATTAAACGTTCATCAGTCTGAACTTTCAGCTATAGCACATTTCTTTTTGTGTTTTGCTTGTCATTTGTCTGGCTTCACTGAAAATGAAAATAAATGCTGCATGCCACTGTCATTCACAACAATGTATTTATTTTAAAAGTGATATATAGTTGTATTTTTTTTTTTAATGGGATTTATTATTTTTTTGGGGGGGGATTTTAATTTATTTGTTTGTTTGTTTAATGGTGGGATGTACTTATACCTAATTTAATTTATGTTTAATAGTGGCATAACTTAATATTTATATACAATTTGATTAATGGTGACATTTATTTATGTATGTATGTATATTTAATAGTGGCATTTTGGAGATTTTATTACTATAATACAAAACAAAAAGATAGATATTTAAATTGTAAAGTATTTATACATCATGGTACATCATGCTGATTAAAAAAATCATCAAAATACAGTAATGAGTATCTAATTAGTAATAATAATGACAGTTATAAAATAACTTGGATTCATTAGAGTGTAAAATCTGATTATTTCTCAAATCTCAGTGGTCCTAAAGTTTTATTTATTTTTTTACACAAAATATTATTTTGTATTTATTTTCTTTTGATTTTGGGTTGAAATGTGACTGAACATGTTTTTCAGCAGATCCACACACAGCGTATTTATTATTTGGTGGTTTCTTGTTTTTGTCAGTCATGCGTAATATGCTTTCATGTGTCCTAGGGAGTTTCTCCATATCGACAGGGATGATCACAGCACATCAGCTGTATAATTACATCACTGATCACGCCGGCACTTACGGGATGAAGCCCCTGCGCATGTCTAAAGCTGCAGTTACCACCGATAACAAGAAGGGGGCGCCGAGCGCAGATCTGCACGAGTACGTGCTGGTCGCTCTGTGGAACAGGTACTGTAACGGTTCACTCCTAGTTTGAGTTGCTGATGTTATCATTTCTATTCTAATAATGCTGTTCTCTTGAAGCTCTGGCTCGTTTAAGGATCTGGAGGGATTGCGACACCATGATGACTTTGACGTGTCGCTGCTGGTTTGTCATAACGCCGCCCCGTTTGAGGAGCAGTCGGAGGGAGAGAGACACCTGCTCAGGTACAAACAAACGAGGAATACATTACTTTATGTAAAATATTATATTATAGATATTATCTGTAATATTACTATATAAAATAATAAATTATTATAAATAATAATAATAATAAACAAACAATAATATATGTAAATAAATCATATTTGTGTAATATTAATAATAATATAGATATTATCTGTAATAGTACTATATATAATAATAAAGTATTATATATATCATCATAATAATAATAAACAATAATATATTTAAATAAATAATATTTGTATAATATTAAAAATAATGTTTACAATTTTATGAATATAAATATTTACAAGTACAATAATTGTTTTAATAATGATAAATTATATTCATAAATTAATAATAATAATAATAATAATAATAATAATAATA